GTGTGTTTTGGGTGTGTGTGCTTGAAAAGATCCATATGCTTTTGGGAGAGCACTCACATGACATAGGTGACAAAATCCTCAAGTGTTATTATTTCATGACATTGTCTCAGAGATTGTCTCCTTGGCTTTTCTAGATATTAAGAAAGAAAGAATCTTCAGAGCCATGTGTAATTAATTTTAATTAGCCATTCACATTGGAGTGATCTGAAATGGATAGAAAATGTTAGTCATTGCTGTTAACTCAGAGCAGATGGCCATTTTTGTTTCTTCAAAATATATGATTTGCAGAGCTTCTGGTAGAGATTTCTTATTTAGAATAAAAAAAAAGAAAATAGTGCATATGCTCAACCAGCCATTGTGCAATTACAGGTGTCCAAAATCACAAATTTAGTCATAAGAGTAAATTTGAATAAGCAGAGTGTGCACAGTGGAGCTGCAGGTTAAATAGACAGACAACATCCAATATCATCCAAGATTACCTTTCCCAATAGCTGGAGTGTCTGGATTCTGTTATTTTCTCCCCTTTTCATTTTAGGTGACTATTCATTAAACCCAGATTCTGTATGTTTCCAATTTCAATCAAGTAAGAAATACCTAATAATTGAATCTTTTGTGTTTTTCATGGAATAAATGGGATCAATTTGCATTTAGTTCTAGATTTCTAACCATCAGTTCTGCTTCCATCCTAATAGAGACGAGATGATTACAAAAATATCCCTTTGGAATCCCTTTTAAAGAAGATATTTCTTTATCTTTCAGTCTGTGAGTAGCTTCACTTGTGTCAGTGGGACTGCTGAAGCTAAATACAGGTTTTTGTTCTTCAAAAGATTAAAGTAGTTTCTAGGCCCAATTCTAAAAAATATCACTAGTATTCTTGCTGTGTAATGGTTGTTCTATCTCCTCCCAAACTGGCAAGAATAAATTCATTTTTAATTATTCTTTGTTTGTATTTTCTCTCTATAAAAAGGAATTTTATGCATCTCCAGTACAACTTTGTCTACTGAAATCCAGCTCCAGCTCAGCCTAAGAGCTCTGTGTGCACATGGTTATGTGTGAGGATACATTAATGTATATACACATGTTAACTGGGTTTGTAATGTGCCTGCAGTGGTTGCCCTTCAAAATTTTTTAGGTTTGTTGGAGATAAATATTTAACCTTATCATAGTATTAAGAAATTGCAAGAGATGCAGTCCATGCTGATGTGCAGCAGTGGTTTGTGCTCAGAGCACGTCCTGATGGAGGGAAACCCAATGATGCTGCAAGGGGTGTTCTTTCTGTGTCATTCACTCCCTGCTCCTGAAATTTGGTTTATAGGCAGAGAAGCCTTCCCTGACAGCCCAGGCTTTAGGGTAGGTGGAAGGGAAATCTCAGTAACTCACAGCTGGGTCAGTCTTCAAGCTTATCTGGCATTTCTCACTTTCCTCTTGGGCACTTCCAAATACCTTAATCCAGTCCTGTTTGGATTCTTTTGTGATGGGAGGAGTTCAAGAAACACCTGTGGACATTTCTTTATTAGGCTCTGAAATACACAGGGGAGAGGAATCAGGAAATCAAGGTAAAAATAGAGTGAAGAAGTTGTAGGGTGAGCAAAGTCACAGCTGGGTGGTGGCTGCTGGACTTTGAGGTGATGGGTCTGGCTTAGAGAAGGCAGGTCCTGAGTGTGGAACCTTTCCAGAACTGCAAAATTATGCTTTTAGTCCAATTGTTTGTTCATCCTCACGAGCAATTATGTTGCATTTTTAGTAGAATGCAATTCCAAGTTGAGGTTTATTTATCTAGAGTGTAATAAAATCTGCAGATAACAAATGGTAGCCTTTTGTATTTTTTTACTCTGAGAAATAAAAAGGCAGCATTATCACAGGAATATGTTGATTTCCAGTAGTGCCACTATAGTTATATTTTCATTATGTATATTTCATTATGTAATATTATATTAATATTCAGTTATTATGTGTAATACTGAATTATAGTGATGGGACTCCAGGAGGAAGTGGAGTAGGTAGATGTGGTAGATGAAGTTTTCTCATTTATGTGTTCACATGTAAGAAATGGTGAATGTTCAAGGGAAATACTACTTGCAAATGGTACTTCTAGGCAGTTTCCATTTTCTGTATCTCTTATTTCTGCAGTCCCTTAGATTTACAGATGCCTGAATATCCACAAGATTGGTATTGTTGAGAGTTCATCTCTCCTGGTATCCTTTATTCTGTCAAAGTCCTTGATGTCTTGACTTCCCATTTAGCTGCTAGAAAGATGACAGTGAGAACATCACAGTATTCCAGATGGAGAATGTAGGTGAGGCTGGAGTAGTAACTGTTTCTGTGCTGATGTCTTCAGCAATTTTAAGAAGTGGAAGAGAGAAGAAAACAGAAAATCTGAATTGTTTTCAAGAACGTTTTTACAGCTTTCCATGAGACGCCAGTGGATTCCTAATGAGTAAAACATGTTAATATGTTTTTGTAAGATTCCACTGGTAACAGAAAAAGGACACACTCTTTTCAGAAGTTACTGAAAGAAGTTATTTTAGTTTGGTTTTTTTTTTTCCTTTGAAAAGTTCCTATGCTTGTCTGCCTTTCTAGGAGAAAGACAGACAGCCTAGCAGCAAAGAAAGCAGCTGGGTAGACAAGCATCCCCTTACCTGCCCTTCTGGAACATTCCTGGGAGCACTCAGGGTGTGCATCCTTCAGCTCCTCACACGTGCTGCACCTTTGGCAGTGACCAAAGAGCTCTCAGATCCTACAGGGAGGAGAAAGAAGGGTCTGGGAGATCTGGAGACATCAGCTGCTGGCCCATGAGGTGTCCCTAGCCCCAGGAGAAGTCCTGACACAGAGACAGGATGCAGGAGTGTCAGCTCCCACGTGTCCTTGGCTGGAATCCCTGCTCACACAGCGAGCCACAAAATGCCAAAAAGTGTAATATATAACATGACAGGCCTGAAAAAATGTTTTCACAAGCTGGTGTCATGTTGTTTTGCTCTTGCAGATAAGTGTTTTTGGAACTTCCCTATCACTATGTTTTACAGCCTTTATTTGCTCTATTGTTATTTTTAGTCATCTTTGCTGAGAATACCCTTTTACCATTTCAGCTTCCTATTTCTTCAAAGTTATATCTGCTTCGTTATCTTAGCCAGAAAAGCTTATCTCAGTAAAAGTTTCTCTTAACAATAAATTAAAGCATTTTTTTCTCTGGCAATTTCATTATGCTTCTCTCTTTTTTATCTTTTCTATTTTTTTTTTTTTAATTGACTTCTTTGTTTTGCTCAGTAAATGTTGACTTGGAGTTCCACAATATCACAAACTGAATAAAATTCAGGTGTTTTCTCAGTTTAAGGTAACAGATTCTGATAAGGTCATCTACTATATGCCTTAAGACAAGATTAGTACTTTTGGAGTCAGGGAAGAAAAAGGATTAATTTTAAATTTCTCAATCAAGAAAAGAATCCACTGAGCTTTCAGTTGTTCATCCTGTCAGTGGCTGTGGCTGAACTGTGGGATCAGGCCCATCAGTGCCTCTTTGTGACCTCTGGGGCTGGTTTCTGTGGGATGGAAATGCCCTGGTGGCACCTCCACTCTGGGTTTTTAAAGGGAGTAGTGCAAACCTGGTGTGCTCAGATTTAGCCTTTGAATTTGGTGAGAATTGAGTCACCAATGTAAGGAAATAAATCTGAGTATGTCCTTTAGTCTTTGCTATGAGCCTGCTAAAAAATCCCTCATTTTGCTCTCTTCAGAGTGGGTGTGCTCTGGTTGCTGTACTGTGGTTTCATAGGTGATAATTTAATGATTTGGTGTCATGGCTGCTTCATGCTCAGGTTCAATTACGCTTCTTTTACCTTTTTTTCACCTTTTTTCCTCAGTCTGACCCTGCAAAGCCAGGCTGTGAGCTGCCTGGTGACATTGTTGGTTAGGAGAGAATCACTTCTGGAAGTGGGAATTACATCAAGTCACTTGTGTTCCAGCACTGTGGCAGTGAAATCCCACCAGTCCCAGAATGCTAAAGAAATTTATCTAGGCAGTGACAATAATAGCTTTATTTCTTTATTCCATAGTGAATTCAGGTTTTTTTCCCCCCTTGTAATTGTGAGTGAAGCAATCTCCATCAACCCCTCTCCTCCACAGCTTGCTAAGGGAAGAAAACAGTCTGGTTGAGATGGAAGATTGATCCTTGTGCAACTGTAAAAATCTAGCAAAATGTGGTTTCCTAACGCTTCTCAGCTAAACTTGTGGTCTTTCCTAAAAAGATTGTTGGCTGACAAATTTACAGTGATCTGGTCTGTGTATAGAATTGGGATTGAGAAACGAATGGCTAAACTGTCAGGGGAAAATCTGTTCTGTTTATTGAAGAATTTACAAGTATCACCTTCCTACAGATGTATTTTTCCTCCTTTCCCATTTTTTTCCCCCTGTATTTATCTCATTATGTGAACTACCTGCAAGAGGTTTTATTTAAACATGTCCCAGATTTCTTACTGCGATGAGAGACATCAGAGGTTTGTTTTGTTTGTTTAAAAGCATCTTGATTGTCATTGCTGGTTTTTTCCTCTTTTACTGATGATGTCTAAAAACTACAAAGGGTATAAAATGGACTGGAAGGACTTAACATGGGAAGAAGTTGCATCAGTGATGATTTTGGTTTTTATTGGTTACAGCAGCAATCTCTCACAAGCTGTGATGTTACGTTGGCATGTCTTATGTGTTTGTCCTCATATCACAACACCCTTTTTTTCCCTAAAAGTTCTGTTTTAGCAAAAGCAGGAAAATCAATTGTAAGTAGTTTCACAGTGCTTTTAGCTGATTATTATTTCCAGAGCTGTGCTGGAGCATTCTAAGATATTTTTAAGTACTCCATGTAATTATTAAACAAGCACCTGTCCCATAAAGTCTGTTGTCCAAAACAATTGCCAAGTAATTTCTGATCTCAAAGGATTTTTAATTGAAAATGCTGTGTGCATGATAGAGAGTAGTAAAATGCTAGTTTTACAATGTGGTGCTTTTTGTTCTAGGAATGTTTACAAGGATTACCGTTTCCTTGAGCTAGCCTGTGACTCCCAAGAGGAGGTGGATAGCTGGAAGGCATCTCTGCTACGAGCCGGTGTCTATCCTGATAAATCCTCAGTAAGTTAAAAACTCACTGGTTTGCCAGTAGCTGCTCTGTTTGAATGAAAAAAACCCAACTGCATCATCTGGAGAAACACAGTGTCTGCAGATATCTCAAGAAGGAGCAGCCTTTTCATTGTACGAGTCTGTGGTAATTCCAAAATATTCATAATGAAATATTTTAAGACCAATTTGTGCGTCAAACCTCAACATAAAAAAAAACAAAACCAAAAACCCAACCAACCACAAATCAAACCTTCCAACATGTTTCTCATTGCATCTGTGTAGTAAAAGCATTGAGCAATTTGGGGTTTCCTGAGCCTCGTTGTTTCTGTTAATGTTTTCTAAGGTAAAGATGTTCTTTGAAGAGTTTATTCTGTATTACAGAACTGACAGAAGCATTCCAGGCAATCGTGTATATTTATTTTACTTATTCACTGCATCATTTTTTGGGTTTGAAACACATGCTAAACCTTTCCAAAGGCAGTTTTACTCAGCTAATCATCATGTGGAGCAAATGGAACAGGATACAATAAAAAAGCCTCTAATAATTTACTAGAAATGACAGAAAGTTGGGAAACAGAATACGTCCAGCTATTATTTACTATTTTTTGGATCTAGATATCTTGATATTTTACTTCAAGTGAAGGTTTGAGGAGATGTATCCAAAGAGAAGGCTGACTAGCAGAAATACCTGGCATTTGAAGCTTTGAAAGTTTGAAACATTTGAACTTTGAAAGTTTCTGCAATGCACAGCTCACCTTTCTGCAGGGAGTGACGGATGCCTTCGGTGGAAAATCTGCTCTGAGAAACGAAGATTCTGATGAATTTGCTCTTCTCCCTGATTGTTTTCCATGGGAAGGCCAGGTTCCTCGAGTCCAGGGTCTTGTGCTGTCTTCTCTCTTCATCTTTTTCTTCCTTTATGGTTGTGATGCCTGCGTGGCTCCCAGTGCAGTTCTGTCTGCATCTCCTCCAGGAGATTCATGCAAACAGGCTTCAGCTTCTTCTCTTCATACAAAGTTTCAAGACCACCATAAAAAGATAAAGAAGAAATTCTTGTACTGCTGGATTTTCCAGTTATTATAGAAATAAACAGTGATGATGGTAATGATGCAGATTTTTTTAGAGAATAGTGTAAATATGCATTTAGCAGGAAACCTACCAGGTATCTGAGACTTTAAAAAGTAAAACAGTGTTGGTGACTTTTCACTCACCTTGTTGCCTGTTCCAGTAGATCCTAAGAATATCAAAAGCCACTTAACAAGGATTTGTTATGAGGGGTTACCTAATTAATTACTTGGACCAATATACTGTATTGCCTTGGTTTTTTCTTGCTTAGATTTTAATGATGATTTCACAAAAACCTGTTGCTGCCTCTGGTTTAATTTTGTATTCTGTGATGGTTTTATCTTATTGGTGTATCTGGTACTTTATCCTTAAACAAGACAGACTGGTTGGATTTCTGAACTTCTCTTCTGTCTTCCTGTCTCTCCCTTCCCCCTAAAAATACTTGGTATTCAAAATATGTTTACAAAGAATTCTTGGTTTTGTTTAAAGTTGGTCTGTCAAAGGAGTCTTAGATGCAAGATGAGAGACTTCCTTGAAAGAAGTAGAAGAGACTCAAAATACAGTTCTCCTTTGAGCTGGAATTATCTTTACATTATAAAAAGAGTAAATATTATTGTTCCAAATGCCTGTAGCCTGAAATTCGCCCAGTAGTTTTGTAAGCTGTTCAGGAAAGATGCTCCATGCTACTCTAGGCCTCCAAAACTTTATTCCTAAATGACCAGAGGATCAGATGTGAGTTTGCTGTTCAGAGTTTTGAATTCTGCTAAGCAAAATCTCCAAGGCCTTAGAAGGTACCTTAGAAAACCCAGTAGATCCTAGATAAAAATGAAAGCATTTAATGAAAATCCTGTGCATGCTCCTTCTTTCACACCTTCCTCTGACAATATAAAATAACTTTAGACACACCCCACATTCTTCTGTTCTCCTTCAAAGATTCAGAGACCATGTTTTTAAGTAGGAGGGACTGCCAGGAAATGGCAGCAACTTGGGTTTACTTTGGTGCTTCCCCCCAACTTTGTGATCCCAGCATTAAAAAGGCAAAGAGGTGCCTTAGCCCCTTCCTGGACCAAACTTCTCACTCTCTGTTACCTGTGAGGCACAGCTGGGAACTCTGAGCATCCAAGACTTTGGCACCAGCAGTTGAATTGCTGTTTAGAAATGAAAACTAAAAGAAAAGTAGGAATCTGGCAGCGATTAAAGAGATGTGTTCTGAATTCTCACCAAGGACAAATTCTCAACAAAGAATATTCATTTTTCTGTTGATTTTTTTTTTTTTAGTAGTGCTACATACAATTGTTTGATTACAGTGATAATGGGGCTCGGTACTTGCTGCCACTAACATGGAGTCTCTGCTGCTCATTTAAACCTGTAAGCTAAAATCCAAGGTTTTAGACTTATAACCTTTCTTTTTGCCTAAGCAAATCTCATTAATATTTTAAAGGCCATAAATGACCCCCTTCCTCCGTTTCCTTGCTTCATTTTGCTTGTCTTCCCTGTCCCTCTGTCCATGGGGATGCACAGAGTGAATGTTCCCATATTCACTGTCCCATAAATTTCCTCTGATCCGAATTCTTTGCACTTTTCCAAGTCACCTCCTTCCCGCAATCCATTTGCCTTTGTCAGGCCGTGGGCTGTGACAGCCACCCAGATAGCAATGAATCAGTGTTTTGATTTTTCCAACCCATATGCAAGTCAGCTTGCTTGATATAAATCATCCTGTGGCCAATTCACTTTGAAATGGGATATCCATTTACCAGCTGACTTTACTGCTGCCTTTCTGGACCCATGCATCCAAAACTCTCCTTTTTTTGTTCAAAAATGACTACAACGATGTGACTAACCTTCCCAGACTTGATTTCTCAACTGGTGTAGGCTGGTGTTTATTTTGGCTGGCTTCCCACTGTATTTTATACACTGTTGTTGCCAGTTCATGGCAAAACTCACAATTAAACCAAAATAATAGCCCAGATGTTTGTCGTAACTTGCTCTGCACATTTTACCTTGTTAGGACCGCCCATTCCTTCTCCCCCCTCCCAAGGCCATCTCCTTTTATTAATCTAAAAATTCAGCATTTGCTTTTTAAAATGCTTTGAATCTTGAAACTTTCCATTGGCTGGCAAGTTGCAGGGAATGGCTGTTGTGGAAGGCTCAGAGATGTTTAGGGGGTTGCTTTGTGTTCTGAAGTTCAGTGTTACCAGCACTGAAAATCCCTCTAGCTGCCCTCCCATCCCTAGATCACTTCAGGCCTCGTTTTCTTCTCCCTTTTATTTGTATCCACCAACTTCCCAGGAGCTGCTCCTTATTTCCACTGAAGGAAGCAAAAGCAGGATCAGAATGTTTGTGTAGTGAGGAAAACAGCTCTGCTGAACATTTCAGTGCTTTGTGAATGCCCTGTGATCCCCTGGAAGCTGTCTGACTACAGGATTCAGTGAATGTTCCCTGAGTCAGTTCCTCATTTGGTTTGAGCCATTTCCAGAACTGTTCAAGCTAGGCTGAATGCATGTAAAATAAATGTAACTAATATTTCTTTTTTTCCCCCCTCTTTTCTTTCGTGCTGCATCCTGCAAAGGGGAGCAACAAAGTAAGTTTGTCCTTTTACAAAATCCTTTTGTATCCTGTCTGAAGGACTTTGTAATGAAAATTAGTTTGTCTTTCAGTTCTCACAGCTATTGCCTGCACGCTCTTAACAGCAAAATGTGATTAAAAATGTGGGTGCACAAGTGTCTTCAAGAAAAACTGTTACTGGCTCTTTGTTTTAATTTTGGGGAAAGAGTGTTAAGTGTTGCTGAGCTGTTTTTAAGGAGGTTCAGCAAGAATGATACTATAAAAGTATTGGGCCCAAAGATTATGAAGGTATAGTAATAAAGACCTTCTGAGAAAAGGTTACTACAGTCTGATGAAACTCATTACAGCTGGGTTTTTTGACCATACATCAAAGCTTGTATTAATGGGCAGTTATAAAAACCCAGCACTAAAGTCTTAAATAACAGATTTGCTGGCGTTGTTGGCTAAGCTGAACTAGATCAGTGTACTGGCTTTGAAGGTGCCTTAAAATGGATGGAGGAGGGTGGGGTCAACATTTGACTTGGCTTCTAGACCCTTGATGTGTTCCAGCTGGACAGCAGCAGAAGGGTGTGGGGTGTGGAGAGGGAGAACTGAAATATGCGTGGTAGGGGTTTTTTTTTTGAAAGTAAGCAGCACATAAAAAGACAGTTTTGCTGATGTTGATCTGATAAACGAATAATCATGCAGTTCCCAGGGTTAGTGCTTTTTAATGCCGTTTTTACTGAGCTTAAGAATGGAAATTGCACATCTCACGCTTTGGAATAAGATGCAGAGAGAGTTTGTCATAACTCAGAAAGGAGTTATACAGCTTTTGTGACTTTTTTCCTCCCCTCCTTCCTGTTTTGGTATATTTAACCTGAGGAAGATGAATCTGCAGCATCAAAAAGATGCTTCATGGCAAACATTGAAAGTAGCCTTAGAATATTGTCTGTAGCATCTCTTTGTGAGCTGGAAGCTTTCTGGGGTATTTGGGAAAGACCCAGGTGGGTTTTAAAGGTTTTGAAGATTGGGGAATTTTGTCTGTTTCTAATTTTTGTGGTTTTTAACCATTTTTTGACCACTCCTGTCTCCACAGTGGCTGGGCTCAGAAGCACCAAAGATATTCTGTTTTGTTGGCCTGCCTGAGAAAAGGTGCTCTTAGTGTTGGGTGGGGAGGGGTTAAGAGAATTGGTGTATTGATGGCATGGAGAGAGGGGCTTTACAGAGGAGGTGGTGTGAAATGTAAATGTTAACTGTGTACACTAAAATGTCAAGGTAGTGTTTATAATGTTTCTTTACGACACGCTGGCTTAAGGCTTTGCTGCTGCAGTGGATGCTGCTCTGATCTCAGAGACTGTGGATGCTCTGTTAAGGGAAATGGGGATAGGTGGGACACCACTGAGCTCTTGGGGCTGGCACAAAGTGAGTCTGGATGTCAGGAGCTGCATGGACCAGCTCTGTTCTCCAGAGCTGAGCTGTGGGGCACCCCAGGGAGGTCAGCACCAGACAGATTTCAGCAGGATATCCATGAGCAGGGAGAGGAGAAGCCTGTGAGATGTGAGGATCTGGGAGTTCTTAACTCTTCCTTCACTCTGAGCCAAGGGCAGCTCTTGCTGTAGGTTCAGAAACATCCTCCATCTGGCCTGGGTTGCCAGCCAGAAGATAACTCCAAAAGGAATCTCCAGGAAACCATCCTGATCTTTCTCTTTGACCCAGTTCCTTGTAAGGATCTTACATTTAGGTCTTCCCCCTTCTCCTTCACACAGATCATTCCTGTGGTAGTCTGGAGATCCTGTTATCCCAGTTGGACAGATAGAACCAGCCTGCAGCTGCCTGCAGAGGCTCAAACCCCACAGTATTGAGATTTCTCTACCTAGTGGAGTGGGAAAATGACATGGGTAAACCTGAGAGGTGACCAGAGAGTTCCTGAGAAGAGGTCAGGGAGGAGATAGGAATGGCAGGTTGTGATTCATGACAGTGTCTTAAAACTTCTAATGCAACTTTATGCTGAAGAGCTTCATAATCCTTCCTTACTGTCCTGGCAGAGCTTTCCTGGGTTGCTACAAGAGCTGTAACCCTCCTCCTGTGCTGCCCAGTGTGCTGCTCATCCACTGGATCCTGTCCTATGCTCACATGTCAAGATCCTGTACTCACCCATCCCTTCAGACTGTGGCTGCTTTTATACCTCTGCCTTTAGCTTTGCACTCTTGGACTTCCAAAAGTAAAAATAAACATTGGAGTAATGAGTCTGTAAGAAAAAAGGGGGAGGAAGGGAAGTGAAGAGGGTTTATAATCGTCAGCGGTCTGCTAACCATTTTTATTTTTACTTTTTATTGTTGCACAATCATTACTGTAAGTGAGATTTCTCACATGGTTAAAGATAAATATATCTTCAGAAGCTTTGTTGGATAAAATCTGTAAAAGGGTCGTGTAGAATGAGGTAATGGAGACCTACCTCATTCAGCAAGCACATGTTGGCAAGCTGCATTTTGTTAATATTAACACTGAGCTCCACAGCCTCGCGTGGGGAATGAGTGCAGAATTGTCCAGTTGTGCAGAGTCTGACTGTCTTAACCCACCACTGTGGATTTGCTGCTTACCCTTGTGCATCTTTCCATTTAAAAAAACCCAAATCCTCTTGAAACAGCCCTCCAGACACTGCTGTTTGAAACAATATCAAAAACTAAAGCATTCCCTCAGAGTCCATCTCCATGGTCTTCTAACATGGTTAGGTGAAAAGAGTAGGTAGATGCTGGGTCCTTAGGAAATTTTGTTTCTGAATCCCTGGGCACTCAAGCAATAAAACAGCAGCAACAGAAAAATCTCAAAACCTTAAAGTGCCACTGTTTAATTTTAAAAGTCACCTTTCCTTTGTCACTATTAAGCCCTGAGTTAGCCAATAATTTCTACTTGATTCAAAGTATCAAACGCTTAAATGCTGAGCTCAGACTTGAGAAACTTAAACTTGGAAAACCAAAATCTCTTTAAATTACTTTTTACAGATAATGACTACAAATTTTTTGCCTTCTAATTATTTTGCATTCCATGCTTGCTGATACCCTTTTAGAGATTGTGTAGAACTGAAGACTATAAGCTCCATATTCACATCTCAGTTGAGTTGTGATAATGCTGCACATGCAAACAGTCACTGAATATAAAACCAGTGTAATTTAGTTTGAATTTTCTCTTAGGAAAAGCAGAATCCCCCTGAAAAGAGAAGGGAAATACTCTTGCTGTCAGCTCAGTTTGCCTGTTGGTCCTTCAAATACTTTTTGGTGACATATTAATGGCTTAAATTAAATACTTTCTTTTCTCTCCTGATTTTTTTCTTTAAATTTTTATTTCATTTAAAGGGGAGTTAGTTTTACTAAACCCAAATTCCAGATCAGCTACTTCATTAAGGAGTCCAGATGTCTTCCTGTCTCTTGAGACAGTCCTGGAAAATGGGAAGACAGTGAAGTCAGGGTCCTCATTCTCCCTGTGTATACGACAACAGTGCTCCCCGTTGATGTGTTTCGTGCTTGGCTCTTCCATGTAAATGCAGGTGCAGTGCCAGAAGCAGGAGGTGTCTCACACTGGAATAAAGCTCTGGTGCTTTCTTTTCAAGTCTGGCCATGTTTCTGAAGGGGTTTCAGTTCCCTTCCAGACATAACTCTGTTCCTGGCTGTGATGATGCTCTGCAAGTGCCCCGGCCAGAGTCAGGCTGGAGGTGAGTGTCTGCTCTGGGACTGCTCAAGTCCCTGCTCGGGATAAGTCCCTAAAGAAGAAAAATGAAAGACTTTTTTGGCTTTGTTGAAAAGCAAACTGCTGATATGTCAGAGGGCAAAACAGTGTAGTCAGAAGTGTAACTCTGCATTTTTACTGAGTTCACTTTTTTTAAACCAGTATATTTTAAAAAAGGAAGGCATTGAATTCTAGGAAAAGAAGAATTCATTTCAGTTGTGACTAAAGGTGGCTTCAAGCCAACTAGGTTTAAAAATAACTTTTAAATGAAGTGTTAATTTATTTTTTTTTTCAAGTGGAAAAATGCCATAATTTTATAGACAGTGTTTCAGTCATTGCTTCGAACAGATGAGTTGGATTTTACAAGGAAGTCCCGGTGTAAAAGAGCAGCCCGAGGGGGTGAGAGTGCATGCGCACACACGCTGGGTCAAAAGCAGCCCAAAAACCAGGGAGGAAAGGAAATGGCAGGCTGTTCTCCAGTCCTTTTCTCACTGCCTCGCTGCTCCAAGGATGTAAAAACATGTTTCAGATGAAAGCTATCTTCTGCTTCTCCTAAATATTTACTACTTTGAACAAAAACTAGATGAAACCTTGTTCCCCAAATGTTCCTGAAGAAACAGAGCAGCCCTGGCTGATATTCCTATAAGAGTAAAATAACTCCTGTCCCCAGAGAGTTAAAAATGTCCAGTGGTGCAGAGATTCACAGGATTGCATCAGTTGCAGTGAGTGTAACAAGATGCAGGCTGATGTTCTGAATGATTCCAAACCCAGTCTCGGCAAAGCTGCTGCTCGAGGTCGGGGGTTCAGTGGCTGTCACAGGGTTTTATGTTCCTGCTCTTAACTGGGGCTGCTGACATTAAGCAAACTCCAGGAAATTTAGAAATGAGCAAACATTTTTTATTTCTGTTATGTATTCACGGTGGGCTCTTTACTGTGCTTTTGGCAAGGCATCTGCATACTGAAAATATTTTTAAATTCTTCATTTTTTATGGGGCAGCTAGTTTTTGCACCACTTCCACTCTGATGAGGGATTTTCATGAAGCTCTGCAGAAAGGTGAAAGCTCTCTGGCTGTGAAGTTTCAGGTCATGGAGCATGAATGTTAGCCCCACTGTGAACACTCAGTGAGGTTTGCCCTGGGGAAGGCAGTGAGAGTGGCCAAACTCTTCGGGTGCTTTCCCAGACCTGGTCAATGAGCACTGAAAGTTGGCTGGAGGAGAGGAAGGTGCTGCTGGGCTCTGCTGCACCAATCTCAGCCACAAAGGTCCTTTGGAGCCCAGGCTGACACCTGCAGCTGGAGTCCCTGTGGCTCCAGC